CAGCCTCAACAGCGTCGATAGATGACTATCATAAAACACTACTGGATATTATTAACTGTCAAAAATCGGGGATTCAGACGGAAATCGGTGGTTTAAACACTGGTTACTATAGTATAGGGTAGCAAAATTCCGCTGAGCTAGCTCTGGTATAGGGTTCCAGGGTCCCAGCGGCACATCCCCACCCAGAAATTCCTTAAGTACCCCACCGGGCTTGATACTCTTTGAGAGGACAATAGATCAAATAACAGAAACAATGTCTCAAGCCTCAGAACAATAACAGCTCCTACAACATGACGAAAAGCAAAAGAATTATACAAGCTTACGACAGCGACTACACTTCCGAACCGAAGTGGTCTTTAATTTGTGTTAGTTACATGTCTAACATCACATCATACAAGCTGCCAGGAGAAGCTGCTGAATTCCAAAGCCCGCGGTATTTCTGGTCAGACATACAACTTAGTCCAGTTCTGGTCCTCTCTGTCACGCAACGCAACGTTTTCTGGAGAGGGTCCCTCTCTCCCGAGAGCGTCGCTTGGCGTGTCAGAGAGAGGACTAGAACTGGACTAACATGTTACTATGAACATGAAGTAGGTATGCTCGAGGATGGTGAGAGGACCGGGGGCTCACACGCAGTTGTTCCTTGAGCTGCTTTTGGATCACAGGAATCTGAATCGGAAAATATTGGAAAAAATCGAAAGGAATTTGGAAATTGCAGAGCCAAAACCTTACTTTAGAATGTTGTTCTTCTTGCTACTGTAGCTGCCAAATGTGAGCTTGACGTCCATTCCCATTGTTAAAGAGTACAAGACTTGAGCCGCAGCGTCTATCCACACCTTAAACAGCAAAATAGGGTTCAAATGGGGCATTGGGGCGAGAGAAAGTGGTTGAGTATTAGGAGAAGCCAAAGCAATTTAAAAAAAAAAAAAAAGAAAAAAAGAAAGAGGTAAAGTCTGTATGCGAGCCAAGTGGCTCATCAGGCCGGAGCTTATCCCGCTTTCTGTAACATGAAGCGACTAGGAATATTCGTGGATGGAATGCTAGTCCATCGCAGGGTTACCCCCAGCATTAAATTCGTCGGGATCCATTTGTAAACTTGTGTGGAGCCTTGCATACGGCCGGCGCGCCTGAAATTTGAATTCACCAATCAGGATTCTGCAGGGGGGAGGGGGGGGAAACTCTGCTCTCCTGACGTCAAATGCATGTTAATTAAAGTCAGGCATCGTTTCTCACTTAAAACGGCATTAAATGTTCCAGAAACAGGATTTTTTGACTCCAAAAGCCATATCAGATTGTAAAGAGTGAAAACTTGAAACATTTTGTGTCTCCAACCTTTTGATTTGGCGCCAAAAATGTGTCGCCCGCGCTTGGCAACTTGTTCTTCGATCGCTGTCGCCAGGTAAGATAATAGTTGGATCATTTTGGACATTTTGAACAAAATGCGTTGTTCCTCATCAATTTAACCCAGAATTCTTGTGTTGAGTATTACGAGAAGCCAAAGCAACTCAGAATTGTCTTTACTTTTTGTTAGCTGCAAAGAAAAAGACTATTATCCCGTCCTTTCGGTAGGACAACTAGGTTTTGACTACCGCTCGTACATGTCCAGCTGGTGCCGCCACCATGTGCAAGGAGAGTGGCACTATGAGAGTAAAGTGTCTTTCTTGCCCAAGAACAAAACACAATGACCCTGGCTAGGACTCGAACCCGGTCCGCTCAATCCAAGTCGAACATTCTAACCATGAGGCCACCACGCCTCCACGGTGGGGCACACTGTTGATCATTAACTTTTTACCCTAAGACAAGTCGAGTTACCTCTTATCGGTCACCAGAAACCAAGACGCTACATGCTCTTTACATGGAGAAAGAGATGCTAATCAGAAATTGCTATTTAGTAAAGACTATAAATGTACATGTACCTTGGGATCGCCAAGTCGCTCCCAGGAGGGCACAAGGTAGAATATCAGTCCGTCCTTCGCTCCAGGTAAGGTGATCCCCCGGAAAAATTGGATCACCAGGATAAAGTAGGGGGCCGTGGCCGTCACGTACACAACCTGTTGACGATCGCAAAATTAGCTACCTGCTGTATATTACTCACAATCCCGTAAACCGACGTCCCTGAGTCTTGGTGCGTTCCACTCCTTCAAGCACACCTCTCATGAACTAACACTGATCGACGCAAAACATTTTGCTCAGTACAGATACTTTTAAATTTTTCTTGCGGGATATGGCGGGTAGTCCCGAGCGGGCAAGATAGCTCCATCTTGCCCGCTCACGGAGCAAGCCATATAATAAATAATAATCATCATTTTGTTCGCCACGATAGAAAAGAAGTATACACAATAACAGTGAATAGGCGAGGAGACAACCAAGAAGCCACCATGCAGGCCTATTGCGGAGGCCACCTCAGCCGTTAATATAGCTTAAAATTAATTTTTAGCTTACAGAACCCACAATACGAAACCCATTTTCTAAGCATTGGAAATAAGTAGCT